CGGACAAGAACATTTTTGTACCTAGGCTATCTGATTAAATCAAAATATTTATGAGATGGTTATAATTATACACTATTGTTCATATGCTACTTCCATAAAGTATAATAATACTTTTTTATTTCCTGATTTGAAATTCAGGTTGTATTACAGTTGGCCAGAATGAAAATAAATGAGATATTAAAAATGAAGAAAGCTATTGCCTGAGTCACCTAACACATACTAAAAAAGTTAGGTTTCAGAATGTGGGTGTGTTTTTTCTTAACCTAGGTAAGAGATACACAGGTATTTTCTGTTGTTGTTCTTTAAATCCTTCTTATGCATTTTTCACTATATGTATGTATGGTACATTTCTCAATGAACTTTTTTTTTAAACTGAAGGATATAGTTCCAAACTCTGGGGGCTGTCTCTGCCTTTACCAGTAATCTCTCTCAATCTTCTAAATGGCCAATTTCAAAACTAGTTTCTTAAATACTCTATTTCTTTACATAGAAGATATTAAATAAAAAACACACAGCCGTAAAGACACTCAACAAAGAACACAGTGGCCACATAGTCTGGCAGGTCTGACAACTGTTAAAGGTCCTTATTAAAGGTAGTGATATTTCTTAAAAATCAATGTACAACCAGAAACTAGATAATAGAGAATTAGACATGAAGCTCCTGCCTCCGTATATTAAAAAATTCTTAAGGGCAGGACTGCATCTTATTCACAGCCTTTAGCACACAGTGTCACACTTAATATTTGTGGAACTAAATGACCCCTAATGTGGTTATTACTGTGTAGGGACTACAGTACCTACCCATCATTTTCTAAACTAAATGTAAGATCTCTATTTGCAAAATAGGAAAAATTATTTCACTGTTGGGTTTCAATGAAATGCAAGTCCAGGATATGTAGCTACAAATGTGCAAGGGTATGATTTTCTTTTCATGTTTACAAAATGGGTTTGCATACAACACAATCTCTACTGTTTCATTAATAAAAATATTAATACTTTTTAAGAAATGAAGTAATAAATAATAAGACATCACCCTACCTATCTATAATATGTGTAGTTGGCAATAGATATTTTACAAGGATCTGCTTAGTAATATTCTTTGTTCTTTAATATAAGATTTCTCTCACAAGAGGAATCTTAGGTCAGGTCTAGCCTGTTATATTCTCTAACTTTCTCTGGATGAGAGGCAATTTACCCAGTGGTAGATACCGAGGTTAATACCTAGTAACTGTTAGTGGCAAACTTAAAGAGGAAACCTGAGATTTGACCCACTTTGCCTCACCTTCTCTTCTTCACCTTCCAAAGGAGGATACTGGTTTTGAGCCAAAAACAAGTAATTCAGTGTGTAGCTTTGTGTACTAGGCAACAAAGTGCAACTATCTGCCCTGGAACTGCTGCTATTTTGGATTTTCTTAGTTTTGTTCTCCCTTCTTTCTGTCTGTGTGTCTGTCTCTCTAAGAGGCTTATGTGGTAAAAGCAACCTGAGGCTGCCTTTATCCTGTCCCATTTGAAGAAGATCAAATAGTAGGGCTCAGGGTTCCTTAGGCCTGCTTCTAGTCTAGGGAAAATGCGCTCTCAAGATCACTTATCAGGTCAGTTCACAAAACTGAAAGGTGTATATACAGTCAGAGCCAAAGGCAATACATCCAAGCTTTTGCCTGGATATTCTCTATGCATGTTGTGCCCCTGGAGATGTCAGATACAGAATAGAAACGCAGTGGAAAATTCAACTGAGGTCCTGATCTTTTCCATATTTACCATGACCTCAACATTAAAAAAAAGTGCCAAAAAAAACTTGATAAGGACTCTGATGGCTATTTTCAAAAATTAAATTTGCCTGTTTTCCACAATATTCTGTTTAAGGAAAAGAAAAAGCTAAGCTAGAAAATAAGGAATAAGGCTTTCAAAATCATTAGCATTTTTAATCATTATTATTTCAATCATTATTATATCTTCTCTCTTGTAAGGAGACTATTCTGTCCTCATATATTACCTCTCCAATATCCAACAACACAAGGGCAATTAGTATAGATGCCATCAGATCTATTATCTGCGTATCTTTAAATCATTACAAAATGAAATATACATATAACTAATATTTTTGCCTCGTTAGACATCTTTGATATGCTTATTTTTCTAAGTAAATCTTATAACAAATACTTCACGTATCCTTATATTAATTCCATTTTTTCTCTCCTTTCCCATTCCTATCCCCCTTCCACTACTAACTCTCCCTTCTTTTCTCTCCTCTCTTCATGTTCCCTTGTCTGTGCCACAGAAGAGTACCACAAAAACTCGAGGGCACTGCTTAAGCCTCCTAGGTTTGCTGACCTCAAGTTTAGAAGTCCAATTCTAGAAATTTGGTAATCACCTATTATGTATACTTTCATCTCAATTCTAAATTCAAAGACCAAATTAAACAAGAGTTCAGTGCTAAGGAGATGACAAAGTTATTAGCCACTAATAAACTACTATAGTATCTGAAAGTACATGTGAACAAACGGGGCTGAGATTCAGGTTCTATGTAAGCATGAGGTTAAACAATCAGCATTTTGGATTGTTCCAGAATGACAAGGCAATGAAAAAGTTCTGAGGAATTTACAATTTTATAAACTTTCTTCAGGACAAAATGTATGTTTAAAATTTGTCATGCAGGATGCTTTGCTGTCCTGCCACACTCACATCAGCTGAATGGGCTCTTAGCCAAGCCACTGGAAAAGGGAAAAAGAGAGCCCTACGGACATCTGAGATCACATGTGTTACTCTCTCCAATTTTTGTTAAAATTCTGCAAAGGTTTTCAAACAGTTCCCCTCCTAGCATAGGTAATAAGCTAGCTTTTCTTTTAAAAGCCATACATAACCCGAATGCCAGAATTACTAAATCCAGAAAATTAACACAGATGCATACTTAATAAGAAAACAATTAGCCTGAGGCAGGTGGAAAACAACAAAAAAGTCAGAAATATTCTAGACTGTCACTACATCACTTGTTTTTCAAGTTTTGATTTCGTTTTAGCTTGTCATTATGTAACCTACCTTTCAAGCTTCATTTACATGCCACCATACACACCCCTCTTCCTCATAGAGCCAAAATGAACTTTTTAGTTTCTCAACTCCTTCAGGTTTTTGCTCTTCATTCAACACTTCTACATATGTGATCCCTCACCTATTACACTTATCTCTTCCTCAGAGTAACTCCACATCATCTCCTTTAATACCTTAGACTGCATAAAATACTCTGTCTGCTTGCACAGTATTTTTATTAAGCCTCATGTAATAATTTTTTTAACAGAACATCCCCACTGCATTTTGGAAAGTAAAGTTTTTACAATGCCTAGAAGACTGCCGGACAAATAATATAAATCAATAATAATCTGGCTACAAGTATTAAGAATTCATAATGCCTTAAGAGGCTTAAGACTCTGTCCACAAACCAACTCTCCACCTACCCTTTTCCTTACTCCTATTACTCACCCAGTTTCAACTCCATAGCTCTCTGCAAGCTGGTTTCTCTTCCCGGAATGGAACCGACTATTACCTACTTCTCTTTCAGGTGAGGCAATAAGATGTCAGGAAAAGATCAACTGACTTATTACTCCTCCCACTCCCAGGAGATTCCATAATTACGTCTTTAGTTGTTGTTTCCTCCAATAGAATGCCAGGTCTTCCCAGAAGGGATCTTCTGTTACACTTGCCAATGTCCAGTTTATCTCTATACCTACAGCACCTAGAGCAACAGCTGATAAACAGGAGGTTCTCAAAAGTGAGGAAAGGAAAGGAGGGGGGATGGGGTCGATATAGATTGTTTTCCTCAAGGAACTTATCAGCCCTTTCAACAAGTAATTTAAGTAATCTGTGGTTTTTTTTGTTTTGTTTTGTTTTTTAAAGATTTTATTTATTTATTTGACAGAGAGAGACACAGCGAGAGAGGGAACACAAGCAGGGGGAGTGGGGGAGGGAGAAGCAGGCTTCCCGCCGAGCAGGGAGCCCGATGCGGGGCTCGATCCCAGGACCCTGAGATCATGACCTGAGCCCAAGGCAGTCGCTTAACCAACTGAGCCACCCAGGCGCCCTAATCTGTGGTTTTAAACCCGTATATTTGTGACGTGTGTGTGTGGCATTAAGAGGATTATCGAGGCTCAAAAGAATTTCAGGAAGTAAAGAACCCATACCAAAAATGATTTGGACATTTTGTTGTTGTTGAAAAGTCGATTGCACGAAACAAATAGTATAAGTTTTAATTAAGCGAAGTAAGAGTGAGAAGGACAAATTCAGAAGTCCTAGGAAACCCCACCCACCCAGCACAGGGCCTGGAAAGTATTTAGAATTTAAATCAGTGCGTTGAAGTCATGCCTCCCTATTCTAAAAACATAGTAATCCTGGCGGTTCGCCACATTCCTTACACAAGTTTTACTCTTTTCCCACCGCCTTCATTCACCTCGCAAAGTCCGCCCGCCGCACGGCACTGCTCCGCGGCGCTCGGCACTGCGTCCCCACACCCAGCAGAGGGCAGTGGGCCTCCGCGACGGCCTCACACGGAACGCGCAGCTGAGCCCGGGCGGGTCTCCGCTTGGAATTCGTGTGGAGAAGCGCTGAAGTCTATTACACAGCGACAAGCTAGAGTCCTCGCTCATATGACACTTAAAGTACGGTCCCTACGGCCACTCAGTCCCGCGGACCTCAAGCCCGGCAGCGTCCCCTTCCGCTCCCCCCCAGACCTTCTTCCGCTTTCCGCTCCCTTCTTCCGCTTTCCGCTCCCTTCTCCCGCTCCCCCCGGCCTCTCTTCCTCTTGCCCGGGCCTCCCTTTCGTTCCGCGCGTGCGCTCCCCCGTCTCGGGTCCTCGTCCCTTTTCCCGGCCTCTTTACGTCGCCCGCATCTCCTCTTCCGCCGGCGCCCTGTTCCGTTCTCCAGCGGGCACGCCTGATTCCGGAAACCCTGCGCCGTCGCCAAGCGCCCCGATTCTCCCGCGCTGTGGCGGGCCTGTGCGGGCCTTCCCTTGGGTGTGAGCGAACCCGGGATGAGTGGACCTGCTTCGCGATGAGGGCGTTAAGGACTGGCTGGTCCAGCGAAGCCCGTAGACTCCATTTATTTTTCAGGCTCCCTCTGTACGTGGGAAGACTGGAGGGAGAAGAAAGCCAGGTGAGGGAATTTTGAAAGAGAAGGGGAGAGGAAGGTACCAGAAGCTGTTACTTCTTGAACATCTTTTCTGCGTTATTGAACGGGGAAAGTATTTGTCTTTTTTTTTCTTTTCTAACGAGTACTCAACATATGCCCTGCGTGTGATACGGTTTTTATAAAGCTTAGCAGGCTTAGAATTCTGTGCCAATCTATGGAGCCGACAGGACTCTCTTCGGAAGACAGCTGAAAAGGAATGCCATTTTCCACTAGGATTGGGATCGCTTTGTCAAAAAGGAGGAACAGAAGGTAGATCTTAGTAAATAAGGGAATAGTCGGGTGGGAGGAACAGAAAGTGCCGAGAAGGGGAGACGATAAGCAAGTTTTAGGCTATGGAGATGTGGATGGTAGGGAAGAATTGGGAACCAAGTTTGGACCGATGAGAAGTCCAAATATAGAAAGTATTTAATTCCAATTTAATATGAAATGAGCAGCCATTACACTGTTGAGCAGGAAATTCCCTTGATTAAATGATTTGGGAGAATTAGTTTGTAGAGTGGGGGTAACTAGATGTATTGTTTATGCCCTAAATTTGTATATGGTTATATGGTACTGCACAAGTTCTGTGTATTCGTGTATGGGACTGTGGCTTTCCAAGGTTGGCAGCTGTGGCTAAGAGGTTTGGCCTTTAACATTTTTGTGTAGATTCCCTGATGGTATGTATCTTTTTTTCCCCCCCATCCCCCCACCTCCCTCCCCTCTAGAACCCTCAGTTTGTTTCTCAGAGTCCATAGTCTCATGGTTTTCTTAAGTTCAAACAAAGTGTGTTTACGGTTGATACTATCTCATGCCTTATCTTTCTGCCAAGCATTTAGTTACTTGCTAGTTCTCAGAATTTACCAGCAAGTTGAGGAGATACAATGTTTTGTTTTGTTTTAAAGATTTTTATTTATTTTTTGACAGAGAGAGACACAGCGAGAGAGGGAACACAGCTGGGGGAGTGGGAGAGGGAGAAGTGGGCTTCTGCTACTTCTGCTGAGTAGAGAGCCCAATGCGGGGCTTGATCCTAGGACCCTGAGATCAGGACCTGAGCCGAAGGCAGACGCTTAACGACTGAGCCACCCAGGTGGCCCTCATCTTCTTTAAATCAGGAAACATAACACAATCCAGTCATAATAGCTGTTGCTCAACAGCTGAAGGACTACCACTAGAAAAGGGAATGACAATCATTCATGTACTCCAACCTTATTTTCACAAAGCCCTTACTGTAACTACAGGAGTCCGATACCCCAGTTCCATGTGCTTCTTCATATGTTCTAAGCTCGTTTGCATATCCAGACCTTAATGGGTCTGCTCTCTGGCTCTACCCTCTTCTGTACTTCTAATCTCTTTCATTCCTTCAACGTGTACCTCAGATCTATTTTTTCCACAAAGCTTTCATCACTTGCCCTAGTAATACATTATCTCTTAATATATCAGAATCTCATGGTCTTTTATTCTTTATTTTTATTTTTTTTAATTTTATTTATTCATTTGACAGAGAGAGACACAGCTAGAGAGGGAACACAAGCAGGGGGAGTGGGAGCGGGAGAAGCAGGCTTCCCGCGGAGCAGGGACCCTGATGTGGGGCTCGATCCCAGGACCTGGGATCATGACCTGAGCCGAAGGCAGACGCTTAACGATGGAGCCACCCAGGCGCCCCGGAGATACAATGTTTTAAAAGTTTTTAGAATACACACACTATCAAAAGAGGTCCAAAGCACCTTAGGGATTTGGAGGAGGGAAAAGAGGTTGGCAACTAGTGAAAACTCAAGGAAGATGGCCCCAAAAGAGGGCATTTATGCATTTTCAGTACTATGACTAATATGCTAACAGATAAAACAGCATTTCTTTTTTATAATTGTGCTTAAGTAGTGCCTTTTTACCCATAGCTATGCGAGTGTAATAGGAGAGAATGGGAATTTGCAATGAGGTGTCCGGTGTCAGGTAGTGTAACGGAACCAACATGAGTTCTCTCTTTGGTGAATCAGAAACTGCACAGGTTGACAAAGAAAACTTTTATTTACAGCAAATGAGATCGTGGGGAATGGCTTCCAAAACCGTGACTCCCTGAGAGCGGCTGAATGAATTCCTTTTGTTTAGGGTTAGAAGGAATATTTAGATAAGGAAGCTTTGTCATCCTATGTACAGGCAGGCATAAGGTCATGCATAGCCTAAGGAAACATGCCTATGTATACATTATGTGTTATGCAGAGGAGGCTGAGGCTCCTCCTTGGGTGGAGATTTTAGTATTATAATGAGGTAAAGATCATTGTAGGTCATTCTAGAGGTCACTCCATGGTCCATCTGTGTAGGCACAAGTCAGATTTAGCTTAGATGGTCTGGCGGGTCTGGGCAGGTGGGATGGCAGGAGGTCTTGTCTGGGAAGTCCCCATCCCCTGGGGAGTAGTGTTGGGTTTCCTTTGCCTGAGTCAAAAAGAAAGCTGGAAAGAAGAGCTTAGGGAAAAATATAAGACAAAAGTAAGTAAGTATGAGCAAGTGGGCAGTAAAGGCCAGGTTTTGGGGCCAAGCCCATATATTGGAACCTATTTTGAGGTTAAACTACAAAAAAAGAAGTTAAAGTTTAGTGAGTACAAGCAGGTGGGAGCTGGGAGGGCTGAGACCAAAATATCTGGTACTTGCTTCCCATATCCTGTAGAAAGAGGGAAAGTTTTTCTATTTCAAGACCTAGTCTTTCTCATTTCTTTTCTAGTAGCATTCTGATTACTCATCTGTATGTATAGCATTTCAGTACTTGCACATACAACCTAGTGTCAAAATACCTTTTACTATAATAATGGTTGTGCCAAACCACAAACTAAAAGGTAGTCCACTGTAATATTAGCAGGTCGTACCTAGTTATTTTTTAACTGCTGGCTCAATAAACAAATCTGGATGACAATTTCTTTAAACATTTGCTTTTTCATAAAATACATATCCAGGTATTCTCCGCCTCCTTCACTTGACTGTTAAACTGCTTTCTTCCTTTTACTCCATATCATGTTATAGTGAAAACTTTTCAATACAGATATCACCCACTATCTAAAAGTTACCATTAGGGGCACCTGGGTTGCTCAGTCGTTAAGCATCTGCCTTCGGCTCAGGTCATGATCCGAGGGTCCTGGGATCGAGCCCCGCATTGGGCTCCCTTCTCCGTGGGAAGCCTGCTTCTCCCGCTCCCACTCCCCCTGCTTGTGTTCCCTCTCTCACTGTGTCTCTGTCAAATAAATAAATAAAATCTTTAAAAAAAATAATAGAAGTTACCATTAAACCTTTCATAAGCCAAAATGGCATAAAGCAAAGAAGAAATTACTATTTATTTATGGGAAATTTTTTGAGCAACCCCAGACCCAAAAAGTAACCTCTCTTGGGCTTTTTTGATACCTAGAATACATCTTATTAACAGATGCACAAAATAAATTGAGATAAAGCACATGATGAGGGATAGGAGCAGAAAAATGTTCACCTTTAGCCCAGAAGGTTGACCTATAGTCTGTATAGTTCTCATAAGGATCAAATACAGGATCCTTACTGGTTGCTACATTCTTAAAAGGCCTCATGACTGCCTGAACATCTCACTGATAGTTTGTTCATAGCGATTTTCATCCAAGGGATGCCTCTGGTCCCTTTAACAGTAGGAACCTCTGACATATCCTGCGTGGGATGCCACCTGGGAATTGGGGGCGGGGGGGTTTTCTTGGTAAAGCACCTTCTTCTCTCAGTCCCCAAGGTCTCTCTCTTGGGATGCCTTTTAACCTGCTGGAAACAATTCAGATTGCTAGATTTAAGGAAAAATAAGACTCATCTTCTATAGCACTGTATGACCTCAATACTCTTTAGGAGACAAGGAACAATGGCCTATTAAGCTTCAGTATGATCTATCAGTTAGATTTCTTCTACAGGAAACAGGGCAAATGGACTGAGGTACTCTGCAGGCATTCATGACCCTAAATCAGGATCCCGACCTATGGGTCTCTTGCAGAATGTGTTTGGCCACTACCAAGCTACTAAACCCCCTTCCAACATTGGATGATGATTATCTAAATAGGCCTCCTCCTCCTCCTAATAGACCCAGCTTGCCAAAGGAATCACAGGCCATCCCTAATGAAGGGGATGCTGACTTTCTCACTGTTCCTTCTCCTAATAGACCCAGGTAACTCTTATTGTATGTGGGGGCTTCTCCCTCATTCATTTCCCAGGTTAATGGCTATGATAATTGGAGTCAGTTGTCTGTGGTTAGGCTACCTCAGGACAGGGACCTTAAGGAATATTCCCAAGCAGCTATTGAAACTCCTCTGGTTTCAGGGAAGTTCCCTGTCTCTTCTGGTCTGACATGGAATGCCTATTTTCACCTTTTGTTGGTGGGGAAAAAAACAAACTTATCTATTCATCTGTCTGAGCTGATAAGCTTTAGGATGATGAGTCCTCTTTATCCTCCCTGTGGCCTTTCATCCACTTGCAGCCTTGCTGGCCACACCTCACCTCTTCTGCCTCGGGTTCCTCCTCCTGTTTCTGCACCACCATGGGTATGGCCTGTATAACCGCTCCTAGACCATCCTCAGTGCCTCCAGCACCATCAGCTCCTACTCTTCCTACCCTCACTATCAAGGAGTGAGAAGCACCCCTCCTTAGACTTAAACTGACCACTTCAGATTTCCCCATCAATGCCCCAGGTAAAAATTGACAGTGGGGAATAAATTAATTGAATTTTGGCAGATACAGGTGCAACATATTCTATATTAAAGCTAATTTGAGTTTGTTGGTTTCATTAAGATAGACATATCTTTGGAGTTGTCAACATTAAGTATAAAACTTTCATCAAGGTTTACTAAAGTTCAAATAGGCTTGTGTTATCTCTTGCAATTTGTCAACAAAATATGACGTAAAATGGTGGTTAATTTTGTCTGTCTCAAAGTTTTCACGGGTAGGGCGCCTGGGTGGCTCAGTTGGTTAAGCGACTGCCTTCGGCTCAGGTCATGATCCTGGAGTCCCGGGATCGAGTCCCGCATCGGGCTCCCTGCTCCGCAGGGAGTCTGCTTTGCCCTCTGACCCTATCCCCTCTCATGTGCTGTCTGTCTCTCTCATTCTCTCTGTCTCAGATAAATAAATAAAATCTTTAAAAAAAAAAAAAGTTTTCACGGGTAATTGTTAAAATAGCTTTCAAAATCTTCAGTGGCCTGAAACTTGGCAGTTTTACTTGGATGATGGGTTGGATTGAACTCACTGGCTGTCTGACTCTTCCAAATGAGATAGGATACTGAAACATTGATTATTGAACATAAGGTTTATCTGTTTTTGGCTTCTTATTGAAGAGAAACTGAGGCTACTTGGGTCTGTTGGTAAACATGCTTTATGCTTTATTAAAAGATTATACTATGGAAAAACATGTTTTTAGAAATTATTAAATGTATTTATAAATTTGCCAATCTAAAGAATTCTGGCGTTATTTTCAGTTCACAATTGGTTACTACTTAATTTTCACTCGAGACTAAGGATTCTAAGAGTTAAAATTCTGGTAAATGCAATTAAGACTGATGGAAATAAGGAAAGCACTCTGTATGTAGGACAGTAGGAGATACATAAGAAAGATATAAGAAATTACAATATATTATGTTGAAAGAAAAAGTAATTTTGTCCTAGAATGAGACTGGTTGTTTGGAAAGAAAGGGCTTAGGACAAAATCTGAATGCAAAAGAAAGTTGTACAAAGTTTGTGAAGGAAAGCTTAGAAAAGAATTTTATGTATGGTCAGGACTAAGGTTGAAATGAATGGATTTTAAAAGTACACTGGTATAAGATTGAGATTCTGCTTTTCTCTCTCTGTTAAAAAGTCAAAAGTTTTTCTTGGATTATTGGTCTGTTCTTCATAAGAAAATATAAACAAAATTTGGGGTTGTTGTTTTTTTTTTCTCTTTTCTTTCTGCCCAGCAAACCAAAGCTTCTGTATTTTGTTTTTGTCAGGCCTTTGATTACTTAAAGTTAAAACTTCTCAATGTTAAAGGAGCTAAGTTTTACTAACAACTATCTAACTTCCTGTAGAATTCCTTATTGCCATCTTGGTTAAATACTAATATTAAATTTATAATGATCTGTAATTCTATTTAGGCATGTGCTTTAAAACTTTCTGACGTTTTTAATGAATTTCCTGAGATTTAAATGGCAAATGAAGTCTTTGTGACTAATTAGGCTTGTTTATTTGGTATGTAAAGTTACTTGGAAAGCACTGTCAAACCAGTGATGATATCCCTTGGGTTATATTGTATGGGTAAATGCTAAAACTATTCAAGAAAATATATGAAATTTTTGAAGTTTTAATATGTCCTAATATAAGATCATCACTTAATATTCTGATTATCGAAGTGTTATGTATCGTAGAAATAACTGGATTTCCTGTCAGCTACATTATAATGAACTCTCATATCAGATCTTTAACCATGTCCACTTCCAAGGTTTTTTGTCATTTATACTTATTGTTCTGATGCTCTTAAAAAATGAATTTTGTCTTCAAGGAGATTCATGCAAAGGACTTTTTATTGACAAATACAGGTGTTTGATATCTTTAAGCTCATAAAACTGAACTGGATAAAAAGTTCCAGAACTAATGGGAAAGCTGCATTTAAGCTGAACAAAAATTAATAACATGGGACTAAATGAATTGAGAAAGATGATTATAGTTTTTATGACTCTTGTTTGAAACATTGCTGGTTCTCTAATGTATGTTCTTTCAGATTAAGGAAGTTTTCTCTTAAGATATCTGTGACTTATGCAAATATGATAAAATATTCCTTTGCAAACAAATCAAAACATCTAACCTTTCTCCCTACCTGAACCCTCCAGAATTCAGAAACTCTCAGTAGGTTTCCATGGCAATTATAATTATTTGCATAATTTTGATGAGAACCTATTCTCCTTGTAACAGGACATCATTTGGAAACATTGGTTATATTACTTTGACTGGAATGTCATATTTGAGAGGGACATGCATTGACTCAGATATGACCAGAGAGCTTTAAGGAATTAGGGTTGACTTTATGGAACCAATAGAGCCCCCTTGGAAATGTTAGCCTGATACCTTGCTTACAGAGTTCCCAGCAGCCTTACCAGGTGAGTAAAGAATGGCACTTCCTGGCAAGTGCAGGAACCTCAGGATATTTGGGGGACCTGGAAAAGAGGAATACACCCAAATCTACTGGTATTGCAGACAAGTCTAATGACAAGTATTTGGCTTGGCTCTGGCCTTGAGAGGCTATTGAAAGTTCAGTCAATACAAATTTCCAGCAAAGCAGATTTTAAAGGATCTATATGATCAACCACTATTCTTGCTGACCTTATGTAAATAATTAGGCCAAGTTTGTTACAACTGGACTTGTTTTACAGACAAATTAGTCTTGATTTGGCTATCTTTGGAAATAAAGGTAAATTTAGAAAAAAAAATTATTTTTCAATAATGTATTCTTATGAATGTTAGATTCTAGTTTTGATTAATTGTCATAAATGTTTGCCTAAGCTAGACAAGTTGAGGTAAACTTTAGAGAGATTGCCATAATAACTCATATATAGACAATCTTCCTGCTTGTTACTCTGTGGAGATAATAAAAGGAACCCCATGGACATGATTATTTAAACAGCTGGACAGGGGCTCCTGGGTGGCTCAGTTGGTTAAGCGTCTGCCTTCGGCTCAGGTCATGATCCCAGGGTCCTGGGATCGAGCCCCGCATCGGGCTCCCTGCTCCGTGGGAAGCCTGCTTCTCCCTCTCCCAGTCCCCCTGCTTGTGGTCCCTATCCCTCTGTGTCTCTGTCAAATAAATAAATAAAATCTTTAAAAAAAAAAGTTTTAAACAGCTGAACAATGAGATGGGCTCCCCAACAATTGTGTAACTCAGCTGTCACCTTGATCAATTCTATGTGGCTGGAATAAAAAGTTGCTCCTTAAAATCCAGAACATACCCCACTCCATGGGGTTAACTATGGACTTACGGAAATAATAGTTGGCCCCACCCTCCTTATAATTGGATTGGATAATACACTTGGGGATGCCCTTTTCTCCTGGGACAAATCATCTCCCACTTGCCTGTGATTCCTTGTAATTAAGATATTAAGATTAGACATCACACAAAGAAGGCTTCTTAATGGTTTTATCCCTTAGCCATATTTGTCCTGGGAGTCAGTGTCTATCGATGTAAAATTACAAGTAGAGGCTTTAGCCAAGCATACAGTGGCCACCTTTAACCAAACCCAAAATGAAGTCACCCACAAATTCGAAAAGTGGCCCTCCAAAACCTAATGACCCTTGATATCCTAACTGCAAGTCAAAGAAAAAGTTATTATGCTAATATTGAGACTATGTTGTGTATAAATCCCAGATGACTGCTAATGTATCCAAAGTTTTAGCACACATGCACACCACATCTAAATGGTAACTCTTTTTACATCAGAAATGTAATGTTTTATTTAGTGTTACAACTTTGGTCTTTCTGATTCACACAGAAGAAACTCAACCAAGAAGAAATTCTTCTTCAGTTTTAACCATTATTTTAAGATTTGCCTACTGGGATGATAACTTTTTAAATTTTATAGTAAGCTCCCATTCAATAGAATTAGACTGTCACCTGAGAAATTTAGTTGAGAGTTGACTACTCACTCAATGAACATTCTGTTTGCATAAAGCATTTGCTCTAGTATGGAAACGGTAGGGTCAATATTTTATCTATAAAGACATGTTGGGAATCAATCTTTAAATTTTAAACTGTAGCTGTCAACAAGTTAATTATTTCAGAATTACCTGTTGAGCAATCAACTACTAAAGCGAAGCCTTATTTCAGTATGATTTTAGGGTCTTTCAGGTCCTAAGAGGCCCTGTCCTGGGCACTGAGAATTCAATGGTGAACAAAGATATGATTGCAGTTGTCTAGGAGGAGGGCATGACAAACTGAAGCAAATAGTCAAAATATGATTACTGTGGAGAAAAAAGAAATAGAGAGGGATTTTTTCCCCGTACATTTTAGTTTATTTTAATTGTCAGTAAATAGATGAACATGAAGGTTAGGATGACAAAACAAATAATTTTCCTTTCAACATCTACCTGAATTCCCAATGAATAAACTGCACACAAAGTTTTACTTAATGATTTATAAACATAAGAAAAGTAACTGTTTACTGAGCACCTACTATATACCAAAGTGACATACATGAACTCTAATTGGTGACAGGACCAAAGTAGGCAATTGCTGTTTTTCATACAAACTTGAGTTTCAGCCTTCACTACCCCACCCCCAATCACCTTGCCACCTCGGAGTCTCCACTGTATGGAAATCATCTCAGCACATCTCAAGGGAGGTGTCACTGATTTCATTTTATAGATGAGGAAACTGAGATTAGGTGGTTAAATAAATTGCCAAAGGCCTCACAGCTTCTAAATGCAAAAGTTAAAACTCGAACCCAAATCCTGTGGGTTACCTTCTTTACAGTGCTTCCATAATTATGTTTCTCTTTTGTATCTATACTGAATACTGAGCTATATTTAAAAAAAAAAACCTTCCTCCATTTGGTTTCTTATACCATTTTTAGAGCTTCTTCTACCTCATTTTTTTTCTTTACTCAGATTTATGTCTGAGTGAAAAAGAAGAAAGGGTATTTTAAGACAGCCAGCAAACCTTTCTGACTGCGTGGCTACACAGTCAGGCTGATGTAGAGGTGAGGAGTGAGAGAGCAGAGTGTTCAAAACTGATATTCCCAGTGTTAGGTTCAGTATTCTTAATTCCTGTTTTATATTCCCTGTACAGGTCCCGGGCCAGTTGGTCCTCAAATTCCTTTCTTCGTCTGGCTCTGTTTTGCAGACGAATGAACTCCACTGCCAGTTGGTGCATTGCCAGCGTGGGACAGCGGAGAGAAACTGAAGTCTGAGAGGAAGTGGCTAGACATGCTCTGCTCCATCTCCCTGAGGGCGGTGCCTTGATTGGCAGCAGTTGTGTTTCTTAATGGCACTCCAGCTCCGGAAAGGTGACCTGGCCCCTGTGCTCTGACAGTGCTGCCTCTGCCTTTTGTCCCTTCAGGCTGAGATGGGGGAACTAGTGGTTGGCCATTGTTGCTAGCCTCTGGATGGCCTGGCTGTCCTGTTGGGCCTCTTAGTTTTTCATCTCCTGTGTAACCATTCCCCCACCATAAAGTCCTGCTGTTTTAAAAATTCAGGTGGTTTTTCATATGCTATCATTTTTATGTGGGACATTAAAAAAAAACAAATGAATAAACAAAGAAAAAGCAGAAACAGACTCATAAATACAGAGAACCAGCTGATGGTGGGCAAAGGGGAAGGGGGGGATGGGTAAAACAGGTGAAGGGGAGTGGGAGATATAGGCTTCCAGTTATGGAATGAGTAAGGCAAGGGGCTAAATGCACAGCATAGTCCATGGTACTATAATATAGTCCATGGTATTGTAATAGTATTGTATGGTAACTGACGGTAGCTACTACACTTGGGGTGAGCGTCGCATAACAGAGAGAGTTGTTGAATCACTATGCTGTACACCCGAAACTGATGAAACATTGTGTGCCAACTCTATTTCAATTTAAAAAAATAAATAAATAATTCAGGTAGTTTTTGTTTTCCTGATTGGATCTTGACATTTACCCAAAACACTTTATACTTCATTATAAAGATCTGTGCACTTGTGATTATATATTTAATAAATATACTTCATGCACTTGTGAGTGTATATTTAATAAATGTCTCCTTAGCCAAACTCTATGTTTCATGAGGGCAGAGACCATGCCTGTCTCCTTCACCCCTGTATTACAGTAATTGCCAGGTGAGAGGTATTTAATACTTATTTGTGGGATGAATGAATGGATGAATAAGATGAGTCGTAAAGTTTTTCTTTCCTCAAAGCTCCTGTCACCTCCTCACTTCTTATTCTTGCCCTGAAATAACAAGGTAAAATAACAACAAAACAAGCTAGTTCTTCTGTACTTACTGACACATCCTCATGTCATTCAGGAAAAGTCAACTCACCCACAAAAATCAAGTAACATTTGCCCAAATGATTAAAATAAAAGTGGAACACTTTTAAGTACCAAAGAACAAAAGAAAAACTTTGTGAAACCAACTTGAGAAGCCGATTGTGGGGAGTTAAACCTGATGTGGCTTTATAGAACCAGAGAAAACCAAGTGAGCACTAAACCAGCTTTATTTTAACTGGAAACTTGTTCTTTTCTGTCATCTTTTTCTGCCAAATGGTTTGAATTTGAGTGAATCATACCAATGACTCAAATGTTTTGGAAGGCATTACTATTTATCAAAGTCAGTAGGAGAGAAGGGAGAATTTATTTTGAGATTTCAGAAATCTTAAAAGATGTATTAATTTGTAAGCGTGCAAAGTCATGTGTGCACTCTCTAGAAGTCACAATTTGGACCTGCTCCCGTAGATTTTTCAGATCTGTTTTCATGGAAGCAGAGCCAGCTGTGTATCTTCCTGACTTTTATGGACTACCTTCTAGCCTTCTTTCTTTTCCTTCTTTATGAGGACAGCAAGAGGGCCACATGGCAAGGGTGGGGAGGGGGAAGGAGGGAGTTATGAGTTCAGTCTTTTGCTTGCCATGGTTTTGAGAAAATAATTCAATTCCTGCAAAAAGAAAGTGGAAGAAAGTGATACTTCAATACTTGAAGGAGGCCAAAATCATTTAGCCAGCACCAAAAAACAATGAGCTGAAAATGATCTCTTTGTGTAACGAAATTGCCCAATATTAAATATTTTTCTGGAATCCAAATTCTCTTATGTAATGTGTCTTAAATGCTACTCTGGAGTGTTCTTATGATCAGCTTAAGGGACAGAGAACTTCCAGCTCTTCTAATTTAAATACAAAATTAAAATAGGTGCACTACATATAGCCCAGAGAATAGCATACCCACAGCATGGCATATACAAACAGCCTTGGTATATAGCCACAGTGGATCCATTTAAAACAGGAGGCATGAGGCAATGGAAGAATGGCAAAACAAATATTTAATATTTTGTTGTTTAAGTTCCATTTTTAAAGAATTTCCACTACATTTTATCATAAAACTCAAACAGACAAACATGAACGGGTTTAAAGAAAATTTCAGTCATATAATAATTGCTGGCTCTGCTTTAACTTCCAAAGCAATCAAACAACTTTTGAATCTCCAGAGCACAGTAGGCAATGGCAATTCAACTTTTTTGGCTGGTATATATATACAACACATAGAAGGGGTTTAACAAATAAGTATCTTTCAGATTAAGACATGGTAAATATGTTACAGGAAAAATTCTCACCAGTGGGTTCATTAAGCTACATGACAGCAACAATCGAAGATGTGGGCATCTTTGTGATCCCTTTTATCTTGAAGATTTCCCACAGAGTGGTTGTAAGGATTAGGTGGAATAAGGTATGTAAAAATTGCCATGTGAACTAGAAGTGTCTTCCCAGGTATTATAAAAGATTAACTTGGGCCCTGAGCTGTGAGTGGGGAGCAGGCCACACATTGTTCTCCAGAAAGGGGACCTCTTGAACTCTAGGACTTGGAATCATTTCAACTATTGAATCTCTGTGTTTCTTAACCCATCTGATTGCAGCACGTATCTCAGTCACGTGGCTCTGGAGAGGGAAGAGGGAATTTGTGCAACACATATGGGTGAGAGGTAGCAGCAGAGCAGTGGAAAAGAGGGAGGAGAACCAAGATTTCATTTTTAAACGATGGCTTATATTTATCCCCTGACCCACTAAGCAGCGGGGTGTTGCCTCATCTGAGGTTATGCAGTATTTTGTCCATCCCTCTCCTCAAGGGTGTGTGATATCCTTTTTTTTAAAAAAAAGATTTTATTTTTAAGTAATCTCTCCACCCAGCATGGGGCTCAAATTCACCACCCTGAGATCAAAAGTCACCTGCTCTACCGACTGATCCAGCCAGGTACCCCAAGGTCATGTATTATCCTGATGGCTATTTCTCCCAACAGAACTGGGCATCTTGAGGACCAAATAAATATTTGTCACATGAATAAAAAAGCTGTTTCAAAATTCCCTAGTTTCCAGACTAACCAACTTTGAGGCCCACAGTCAAAATGAAGAGCATTTAGTAATTTCACAAACTCTTGATTACACATTTTGTTTTCTTCTAAAAAGTCACTATGCTAGATACAGGCAAAAACATGATTTACTTGTACAGTCCTTAGCCTTGAGGAACTACAAATGTAGTAAAGGAATTAGATTTATAATTACAAATTATCCCAAGTTAGGAAATCATAGAACACTTAAAATTGGGGGATCCTGTGAGTCTGAGTCTTAAAGGGAAGTAGTATATTACTAGGCTAAAGAGTGGAGAAAAAGGCATTTCAGATACGGAAGGGGACATGCAAAGACATGGAAGGATCCAGTAGTATGGTTCATGCAGAGAATTGGAAACGAAGCTCTACAGCTGAAGTAGGGAAAATTTCAGGACCCCTCAATGCCTACTGAGCTGCCTGCATGTCTCTATCATTCTTGACTGCAGTTGTTGAGGATTTTAGAGGGTGGCAGATTGGATTACTGACCTTCTTTATTTCTCCCTGTACCCACCGCTTTGCTATTTGCTTAAAAAACTTATTCAAAAGCAATGCCTTTCCCAGCTCCTTTACTTTGGCCAGTGTGGTAAGAGTAGATGTAAACCAGGCAGGAGCTTGAAATGCCCTGGAGAAGGAGGGGTTTGCCTTTTTGAATTTTTGCTCTTCTATTCTACTATGGTGAGAGCTTCCTGAGTGTGGCTGCTGCCTCTTTTGCCTGGACTTCAAAATGACCACACAGCAGAGCCACACCATCTGACCAAGGATCCAGGAGTGCAATAAGTACTGATTGCTGTATGCCACTGAGATCTTGTGGTTCTTCTTATGCAGTGTTGTTGCAGTAGTGAACTGACCCCGAGCATGTAACACCTCTTTTTGCAGCCTCATTTCAGAATCAACTGAGAGAGAAGGAGGGCAGGAGAGAAAGTGGGCGAGAGACGGGGAGTGAGAGAAGGAAGGGGGTAGGGAAAGAGCAAAGGGGGCAGACAGAGAGCAAATATCTCCTTTATTATGAAAATCCTACCTTGGAGGATGAGGCTTAGGGGTATTTGAACACTGGCTTCCTGATACAGACCCTAGAATCACACGGTTCTCCTGATCCAGCTACAGCACATTTTGCACACAGAGGCTGAGCCTTTTTCTTGAAACTCTGCCAGGCCAAGAAAAGCAGAATGGCTGTATCTGGCAGACAGATCCCAAAGGCAGAAGGATGGGAAGGGTGAAATATCCATATCCAGAGCCCACTCTCAGGTTTACCCATAAGATCATTTATATCTATAAAAGTGCCTAGTTACTGCCACTTCTCAGGGTTATATGAGTTAAATTAAAAAAAATAAATAAAGCTCAATAAAGTGCCTGATTTAGACTGCTCAACAAACTTACTTGCTCACATTCTTTCCCTACCCTCTCTTGCCTTTTTTTGTCTTTGTTTATCTATTTTTTCCTCTTCCTTTTGATTTTCTTCCTGTCCCTCCATCTTTCCAATTCAACTCTAAATTAATGATACTGTATACTCTGTTGTATTTTACCAACTACACGTTCCTTAATTTACAAACTTCATGTATAAAAAAAACCATGTATTTCCTTCTATAAACATAGATCAAATTAAATTAAATTCCTTTCAAAAATTGGTTTGGATATTCAATTGATCTTTATGGGGTCATTTGGTCTTAACCATAAAAACTTCCATCTCCTCAGTATGTTACTGTCAAATTTCTTATAGATTTTCTATTTTTCACTTGTGGTTAGGTTTTATAAAGAACACACTTATACTAATTTAATATGTGCCTGAGTTTATCATGCTTTCAATTTCAAATCTTTTCAGATTACATACTGGAGCAATACGGAGGTCACTAAACAACCCTGTTGTGTCTCCATTTTCAATGTTCATCTTTTTTTTTTTTTTTTGGGTGGAATTTAAACATTGATGTTGAGGAACTTACACCAAAGAAAAATGAAAAAGCTCAGCATTGGACCTAGGTGATGTAGTTAGTGGCAGGCAGACAGGCAGGCAGGAGGGGAGAAAAGGAAAGGAAAGGAAGGGAAGGGAAAGGAAGGGAAGGGAAGGGAAGGGAAGGGAAGGGAAAAGGGAAGGGAGGGGAAAAGGGAAGGGAGGGGAAAAGGGAAGGGAGGGGAAAAGGGAAGGGAGGGGAAAAGGGAAGGGAGGGGAAAAGGGAAGGGAAGGGAAAAGGGAAGGGAGGGGAAAAGGGAAGGGAGGGAAGGAAGGAAGAAAGAAGAAAAAAAAGAATAAATTTAAAAACTGTTACTTGCCAGGGTACTGTACACTGAAAGAAGTGTACAGAACTGTTATGAGAAAACAAAGAGGCACCAGTCCCCCTTGCCTCAGAACCATGAGCGAGAAAAAGGAGCACAGGTAAGGACAGCCTACAGTGTGTTGGGGGCAGGGGTACAAACAACATTTGGGTCCACCAATTAGAGAGTCTGTGTGAAGATGACAAATATAGAACTTCTGAATTCATCTACACTTGTCATTTCCAACTTACTTATGGCCTTTGGACATGAAAGACAATGATGTGAGGAAAACATAAATAACTTAAAAACTTTACATACTGAAATGGTTTAGGAAGACAAAGGACACAGTTAAACAGTGTGAAGATTTCAGTCTACTATCAACACAGATTTTGAGAGCTCTTTATTAGCACCAAATATTTCCTAAGATTTGGGGAAAGTATATTTCTGTTCTATAGATTAGTTTTTTTGAACATTCAATAGACCTAGCTTTTTTTTTTTTTTTTTTTTTGCACATATTCCCCTGTGGAAGGCCTGCAGCACCCTAAGCATTAGAAAAGGGAAAACATGAGCTGTTCCTCCTTCAAAAGCAATAACACTTGCTTCTTTTAAGGACCTGCTTCTCTGATCTTCCCATATTTAGTAAAGCAAGGAATAACAGAGGAAGAGGCATTAATAACACTGGCAGGTTTATGTAGCAATGCCTAAAGGTAAAAAAGAAAGAAATTTGGATATAGTGTGCATTTTAGCCAGATCAGAGGAAACTTTCCAGATGTTTTTTCTGGACTATTTAAGTAGTTTTGTTTTGTTTTGTTTTTTAATGTACTTCTGACAGTAGTGAATATTAATTTCCATCATATGGGACTTGTGACGTGATCTGTTTCTGATCTGTGTGGCAGGCTTGGGTTATTCTTGCATCCTCAAATGGCTTCAGATCATGGGGTAAACGTTTTTCTTGCCCCTCTCTTGAGCACAGTGATGGAGGGAAAGAAGTGTGCACTGCTTTATTTCAATGAAATACATGCCTTCCATTTCCTCTTGTTTGAATAGAAACACTTGGAACCATCATGCAAGAGTATCCAGGTGGGATTCAGAACGGAATTCAGAGGAGCTCACCTCCTAGCTCAGAGCCAAATAACTCAGCAGTATTGTTGTAGTACGCATCTGATGCACTTTGGAATTTTAATCAGCTTTCTAGCTGTTCTTGGTAAGAGGAGTAGTCTACAATAAAATAATTTGCCAGTACCAGAAATGGGAATGCTATATAGATATTAATAAATATGGACAAAAAATAACTTTTAATTGTGCAGAGACTTTCAGCAGGAATGGATATTAAACTTTATTGAATTTTGTTTTGGTTTCTAGTGAGATAATTATATATTTTTGGCTTTGACTTATTGATTGAGTTAATTATATGAATATATATTCTGATATTAAACTATTCTAGTATTTCTTAATTAGAACCACTTAAAATAACTGTATTACTTTTGGTATATGACCGAATTAATTTTGCTTAATTTTTATTTAGCGGTTTAAGAATGTATGTTTATAAAGAATCACTGCTTTAATTTTTAAGTGCAAGTATGATTTCTTCTTGGATGAAAATGTGATGAAATCCCCCTGAGTTTTAAATTTTTAAGTGATTTTTTTGTTCATACTTTTTTTTTTTTAAGATTTTATTTATTTATTTGAGAGAGAGAGAATGAGAGAGAGCACATGAGAGGGGGGAGGGTCAGAGGGAGAAGCAGACTCCCCGCTGAGCAGGGAGCCCGATGCGGGACTCGATCCCGGGACTCCAGGATCATGACCTGAGCCGAAGGCAGTCGCTTAACCAACTGAGCCACCCAGGTGCCCTGTTCATACTTTTATTATTACATTGGTTTTATTACATTATATTCAGAGAATATGGTCTATGCCATTAATATTTTTTGTAATTTGAAACTTCTTTTGTGGCCCAATGATCAATTTTTGTAAATTTTCCATTGTTATTAAGAAATAAGTTGTACCATTTATAGGGTACAAATTTGTGGAAATTAATAAATTTTATTAATTATATCATAAGATTATCTAGAGGTATAATTTCTGCCTACTTTGTCTATCAAGGACTGAAAAGTATGTTTATATTTTCATTAATATAGTGTTTCGGGTGGTTTTCCTTTCAATTAAAATAGTTTTGAGGTTTTGTTGTTTGTTTGTTTTGGGGACAGCCCCTGGGTGGCTCAGTTAGTTAAGCATCTGCCTTCCACTAAGGTCATGATCTCAGGGTCCCGGGATTGAGTCCCACATCGGGCTCCCTACTCAGCGAAGAGTCTGTTTCTCCCTCTCCCTCTGCTCCATCCCCTGCTTGTGCTCTCTCTCTTTCTGTCAAATAAATAAATAAAATCTTAAAAAAATAGTTTTGATATCATATATTTCGATGCAATATTTTTAATACATTCAGATTACTCCCTAACTGATAAACACACATGCTGTTCCTTGTAAATTTTATCAATAAAAAAATGACTGCCTTCATCCTATTAAATGCAATTTCCTTGAATTCTTTCCTCCTTGCTAATTATATCATCAATTCTGTTTTTAAAATTATATCCATCTAGTATATTGTTTATGAAAAACCTATCTGAGGTGTTTATTAAAAAAATTAGAAAAAACTCTGATATAGATTCTTTGTAGCTCAAATTTCATTCTATTCAGTAGGAATTAAAGTATTTTTTATTAGACTTGTAATGCTCATTCCCACACTCTGAAAACTGGAACACCAAAAGTTAGGTGATATATTGATGAACAAATTTGAAATCCGTATCTAAGAAGCATGTCTTTATGATAAATTTAAAAAACTAATGGTGACTCTAAACATGTAGATGATTTTAGGATGGTCTTTATTAAAAGATAAAGAGTTCTGAGCAATAATTTTAGGTTTCTTTAAAATTACAATAAAATATAAAAAATCTCTGATTACCTCTACTTAGATTTAAACAAAGTTTAAGCATAGTAACATTAATGGGGTTTTCTAGCAAATTAAACTGATGACCACAATGCCTTACGTGGAAGAGAAAAAATAAAATAAAACCTAAACAAACAAGGAGTGATAAGATTTCCTGGCAGTGGGATGCCTGGGTGGCTCGGTGGGTTGGGCATCTGCCTCCCGCTCAGGTCATGATTCCAGGGTCCTGGGATTGAGTCCAGCATCAGGCTCCTTGCTCAGTGGGGAGCCTGCTTCTCCTTGTGCTTGCCACTTCCCCTGCTTGTGCTCTCTCTCTCTTTCTCTTTCTGACAAATGGATAAATAAAATCTTTAAAAAAAAATTTCCTGGCAGCACAAGCCTAGCATTTATCATGTTTTCTTTTGATTAATCATAAATGACTCCTCCAAAATGCCACATAACGGAGAGTACACTTTTTACAAGATTCATGATGTGGGTTGGTGCATATGTTGTACCTTGTACCAGTTAGGATTCTTGTCCTCCAAAGTCAGAGTACAAATTTGCACTTCAACCACCAGCATATTGGGGTTCTTATTTATTCATATCCTTGCCAACACTTTACATTATCAAATTCCAACTTTTGTCTATCTCATAGGTGTGAAAAATTTAAGCATCTTTGATGTGCTTATGGCCCATTCTTCTCCTTTCTGTGAACAGTCTATCTGTATTCTTTCCCCATGTCCTAAATTTTTTCTTTTATTGATTTGTAGGAAAACATTTTATATTCTGGGTATTAACCATTTATCAATTATGTATTGTCAGGAGCTCAACAGAGCTATGAGAGTGAGCTGAGCTATCATGTATCAGAGTAGCCAGTTAAAACAAGAACCCCAAAATGAGAAAGATGGGCATTTAATGACTTACTGCCATGGTATGAGCAAGAGGTGACAACTAGAGAAAGCGCTGACTCCTTACTTCCCTTCTGTTTTGCCCCGTGGAAAGGTGCATCAGTTAAGGGTCAGATAGATCAGCCTAGACATGAGAGTTGTCTTCCCGTGGAGGGAGAACCAAACAAAAGACTCCATCAGTTTTATGAACCTAGGATGGGCAGAGGCTTAGGGGGAAGGGCTAGGAGTAGCAAAGTACAAGGCAGGGTGGAGACAAGTGTCTTCTCGGTTTCCCCTCCTCTCCCTGACAAGGTGGTCTCAGCAGAGGTACCCGAAGAACTCCACCCAAGGCCTCAGATACAGAGAACTAGGAATGAAAGCAAATATTCAAAGAGCACCACCCAGCGGGGCCTGAGAGCTCAACTGCAGCTCCCTTTGGAGGCCACTGAGGCCACGATGCACAGTTCTGCATACATCTGGTATGGGGAAGGCAGTTTTCTCCATGAGGCCTGTCGGGAAGAGCCTTTGTCAGGCCTGAAAAATCACACATAGGGTTTTAACCAGGAGCTGGACTCCTCTTCTGCTGCAGATATCTTGTCCCTGTATGTGGTTTATTTTTTAACTCCTTAAATAAGCCAAACTTCCTTATTTGTTCTTTTTTTTTTTGTCCCAAAGTCATAATTCTTACACATTTCCTTATCATGTTTAGGAGTTCTAATATGATACTGATTTTTGTGTATGGTATGACATATGGATATAGCTTATTTTTCCATATTTATAACCAATTATATAGCACCATTTATTAGATGGTCCGTATTGTCTCTGTCGATTAGAAATGACATTTGTCATTTAAGAACTTTCTGTTTATGTGTGGTTCTGTTTCTAGGCTTACTATCCTGTTCCTCTGGTCTTTTGTTTCCTTCTGAGCCCACAGAATATTTCAATTATTATTGTTTTATAATAAGCATTGTTTATATTTGGGCAAATCCTTCAATCCTGTTCTTTTTCAAATTTGTTGTAGCTGTTCTTGGCCATTAGCTGCTGTATATACATTTTCAAGCCATTTTGTCAAGTTGCATAACAAACTTGGATATGATTTTGAAAGGAGTTCACTAAATGTATAGGTTAAGATATGATAATAAACATCTTTACTGGAATGCCTGGCCCGCTCAGTCGGTAGAGCATGCAACTCTTGATCTCAGGGTCGTGAGTTCAAGCCCCATGTTGGGGGTAGAGTTTACTTGAAAATAAAATAAACATTTTTACTGTATCAGAGTCTCTTCTGCATGTACTTGATCTATTTCTTTAATATCTTCCAATAAAGTGTTCTTATTTTCTCCACTAAGGTTATACATTCATTTTATTAGGTTTTTTTTAAAATTCATTTTATTATATTTATTTCTCTTTGGTATTTTTATTTTTTCAGTGTTATGAATGCTATATGTCTTTTTAATGGAGATATATATATATAAATATATATATATATATATAATTTCGTATCCAGTTACTGTGCTTTTATCTGATTAAATCAGATACTTTTCTATGGATTCTTTTCTTTATACAAACATTATTTTCAAACACGATGATTTGGTTAATTTTGTCTCTCTTTCTTTGATTCCTATGGTTTTCTTTATGTTATTCAATACGCTGATGATAGTGAGCATTGTTGTCTCAACCCTGATCTATCTTAATGTGATTTAACCAGACATTTCGCTAGCAGGTGTGGTAAATTTCCGTAAGTTTATGGTAGATTCCTTTTACGAGTAAAGAAGTTTTCTCCTATTCCTAAGTTGCTATGAATTGTGATAGTAAATGCCGAATTTTACTAATGCTTTCTTCTCCATTTAATGAGATGATCAGACAACTTTTCTCCTTCAATATATTAACATGCTGAACTCATAGTAAACTTTCAAATGCTAAAGTGTTCTTGCATTCCTGCCTGAGATTAATCCAATTTGATCATGATGAATACTTTTTAAATGCATCATTAATTCAGTTTCCTGGTACTTCTTTTTTTTTTAAGATTTTATTTATTTGTTTGAATTTCACATTTCATTAAGTATGCTTTAGAAGGTATTTGTAATGGCTGCCTAGTATTCTATGACATGACTATAACTGAAATTATTAACCTATTTCTTACCGTTCTATGCAATTATAGATTTTTATGATTATTTGCTATTATAAGCAATTCTTTGAATAGCATAACAGAAAGATATTATTCTCAGGATGTATTTGTAGAAATAGGTTTGCTGGGTCAAAGGGCATATACGTATTGGTGGTTTTAGGAGTGGGTCTTAACAACAGAAATGGAAGCTGCCATATGAAAGGCTCAAAGGTTTTCGAGACTGCGAGATTAAATTATATTTAATGCCAGATGTAATGGCACTTCTGTCTTGAAAATATTCACTGAAGCATGTTTCTCAGGATAAAGGAAAAATTATTATAGAGCAATTTTAAACTAAAGATGAATGGGGAAGACACTACAGCCAGAGTAACTGATGTGAACCCTGCCTCTGACAGCTGTGTAAACTTGGGCAAGTCTCTTAACTCATTTGTGTCTTAGTAACCTCATCTGTAAGATAGAAAAAACAACAGTACCTGCTTCATGTATTTGTTGGGAGGTTTACATGAGTGTGCGTGTATATGTATGTGTGCATGTATGCATGTGTATGTGCACATGTACATGTTCAGGTTAATGCTTAGAATATTGTTTTGGCTCTAAAAGTGGTATCTATTACTGTTGTGTTGGTAGTTACTATTAAGTTAATTATTAGCCTGAATCCGAAAAATAAAATCACCCTGTTCTAACTTTGGAAAAAAAAAAAAGATTTTATTTATTTGAGAGAGAGAGAGAGAGAACACACAAGCAGGTGGAGAGGGAGAAGCAGACTCCCTGCTGAGCAAGGAGCCAGACAAGGGGCTTGATCCCAGGACCTTGGGATCATGACCCAAGCTAAAGGCAGCCGCTTAACCCACTGAGCCACCCAGGTGCCCCAGTTTCCTGATACTTCTACAGTGATTTTTGCATCTATGACTCAGGAAAGGCCAGAAGATTTCCTTTCTTGTTCTGTCCTTAACTAGTTTTCATATTAAATTTTTCCTATTTTCTCCTTTCTGTATATCTTGATTTTTATGTTTCTCTTTTTTCACCATTCTGAATTTCTTTTGGATTACTGTAGTTTTTAAAAACACTTCTACTGTCTCTCCATGCCCCTCACACTGACTTGGAAATTATAAATTCTATTTCTCTTGGTTTTTCCTTTGAAAATTATAATAAATATTACACATAGTTCTGATTAATTCCATCTTACTATGTAATTGTCCACTATTTTTTGTTAGATCTTCTTTTCTTGCTCCCAGAGGTAGACATTAATATTATTGTTTTATGCAAATTCTTAAGAAAAATTTATCCTCTTCTTTATTTTTATCAATTTCTTCATCATTATTCCTTCTCATTTTTCTGGGACTGTTTTCTCTTTTTTGAAATATACTTTGGAATTTCCTTTATTGAGAGTTTATTGGAGGAGAATGAGTCTATTTTTGTTGTTGTTCTAATATGTTTTTATTTTGTTCATATCCCTGAATAATAATTTATCTGTGTATATAATGATAGGTTGAAATCAACCTGTATTAGTACTTTGAAATGTTCTGGTTTCCATTGTTGAGATTGAGAAGTCTGTAGTGAATCTAATTATTTCTTTGTAGGTAATCTTTTTCTTCTGACTGCTTTTAATATCATCTCTTTGTCTTTGCTTTTCTTTATTTTTCCTATGATATGTTGTGGAAGAATTTTCCCTTGTTTATTCTGATAATGAGGATTTATCCTTTATTAATTATAAATTAATTTTAAACATTTATTAACTATTATCTTTTGAAATATTGCCTCTACTTTTTTCTATTTGTTTCTTTCTTCTGGAACACCATATAAATACATACATATATGTGTGTGTATATGTATATTATATATGTACACACACACGTATGTATGTGAATATACATACATGTATTTTTTCTCATTTTATCCTTCATGTGTCTTAATCTGGCTCATATTTGTTCTTTATTTTTGTGTGCAATTTTTTAGGAAGTTAATTTGGATCTGTCTTCCAGTTCCCCAATTTTCTTATAAGCTACATGTAGTCCATTATTTAAAGCACATTGAATGTTTAAATTCAATCATTGCATTTTTTTCTACAACTTCTATTTGTTTACCAATATTTGGAAGCAAAATATCTGGTTAATTGATTCATTTTTATTTCTACTTCTTTAAGCATTTAAACATTTTAATTTTGTGACTTTCATAATTCTGATATGTGAGGTCATGTTTGGCCTGATTTTATCTGCTTGACTTTTAGACTTCTGAGAGCTTAGATTAAGTGTAAATCCTTTAATGACAATGTTCTGCCAGGTACCCAGAATTCTGCCAATGAGGACAGCCGCAAATTTATTTCTCAGTTTGGCACTTCCCATGCCATACAAGTAGTTTAAATTAAGTCCCTAAAGCTCCCCAAATCATGCCTGTGTTTACGAATTCTCAAGGGAGAATTTTTCCTCACTCACAGCACAAATTAAGTCAGATACAATTTCTGAATGTACAGATTTTACCTTATTTATCATTTTACAGAAGGCATAGGCCTCCAAAGACCACAGCTTTTTGTGGGGGTGGGAGAGCTGGACTCAATTTTAACTCTACCCGGAATGCTTCCAGGCCTTATTTGTTTTTTCTGTTCTGTCCTTAAAACCTGAGCCTCTAGACAACTCAGATCAGCAAATACCCTGAGGGCTACTTCAACTCACCAATGTAAAGCACAAAGCATAGTGATCTGCAGATAGAAAGCATTATGTATAAATACACATTAAATAAATAATAGAAAATGTCACATAGGAAATGGTTGGTGGGGCACCTGGGTGGCTCAGTCGTCTGCCTTCCGCTCAGGTCATGATCCCAGGATCCTTGGACAGAGTCCTGCGTTGGGCTCTCTGCTCAGCGAGAGCCTGCTTCTCCCTCCCCCACTCCCCCTGCTTGTGTTCCCTCTCTCGCTGTGTCTCTCTCTCTCTGTCAAATAAATAAATAAAAATCTTAAAAAAAAAAAAAAAGAGAGAGATGTTGGCCCTGAGTTTCGTCAGGCTGGGCCTTTAAAGGGGCTGTAAGGATGTCAGAGAGTTGCAGCTGTGCCCATGGCGAGGGCGTGTGGTGACGAGGTGGACTCTTGGCCAGGTAGAGCAGAAGGTAACAGGTTTCTCAAGGGACTCTATCCGGTGCTTGTCTGGGATGTGGGTTGTGGTCTGGCTAGAGAAGAATCTATTTTGTACTTGTGCTCTATTCTCTGAGAATGTGGGGCACTATGACCTAGAAAAACAAAGAATTAGGGCCACGTACAGACACCTGTGAGTTTTGTCTGTTAGTTTGGCTAGGGAGGGGACTTTGACTAGAACTCTTTCATAACCCTTATCCTTAGCTCAGATGTTTACACATGTTATATCTTGGAAGGAAAGAGACATTTATGCATAGGCAAGGCAGGATCCAGTCAATCCACAGCTGTTTTAATACAGATCCAAACCACTCACCAGACAATAACCTTGGTCATGCCTTTCAGCCAAGCCCATGATGTGAGATTACTGATTCAAATGCTTTGCAAACTGCATTTGCTACACCAGATGCCTTTCAAAAGAAGACTGATTTTCCACTGACCAAGAGCTTCAGATGGAAAGGCTTCTTCCCTCTTTCTCACATAAAGGAATAGACCAGAAGGAATAATTTGTCGGGTAAGCTGTTTGTAGTTCCTTCCAAGTTACATTATTTGTTTTTTGTTAGTCTATACTTTATTTTCTTAATTTTTCATGTTTAAAACTCAGCTTCTGAGGAAAGCCACCATCTTATGCTCACAATATGGGTTCAGAATGAATTTACCCTTATAAAACAAAGGAATTTACTTAGGTTTAAGGTTTAGTAGAAGAAAATTGTTAAGACAATATAAATGGAAGCCCTATAATAAATAAAGATAAAATATTAGTTATGTGGTACTAATACAAAATGAACTTAGCCAAAATTGCCAATGTAACATGGTAAGGATGACAAGATGTCTATCTCATTAACTGCTTTACTCAATAATATTGGCACAACTCCTAAATGTCAGGCCTTGTGCTAAGTACATGGGGTTCATTAGTGTGCAAATCAGTAATGTTTCATTTCTTCATAAAGCTTACAGTCTTGTGGGGGATCTGATAGTGAAACAATTAAAATATTGTGTGTGGTTAGGTGCTCTGATGGAGTAGTACACCGTGACTGGTTCAAGCTTTCACTGAAAAACAGAATGTTAATTCCTCCATGCATTCTCCAAGGAATGTGCTTTTATTTCACTTCAAGTTATCTCAATTGTAATATCATTCATAGAATTCTTTTGGTTGGGAGCAGTAGGAACCAATTGTGACTAGCAAAAGCAAACCAGGGAATCTGTTGGAAGACAATGAACATATCTCAGAAAATCAAAAGAAAAAAATCAGAATACAAGAAAGGAGGGAAGAAGGCAGATCCAGGGATCCAGTAGTAGGAGACCACTGACCTTTTATCCAGATATTCCCTGCCATTTAAAGCATTCAGCTGAACTAACTCCCAGGATCCTCTCCCCTCTTCTGATTGACCAATTGTCCGGTGTTGGTCCCAGCCTATCAATAACCAATGTGTGGCTGGACCAGGCCTGTGTTTCTTACTACTGTTGTGAGATGCCCGTCAACAATAACCATCAGGAAACTTTGGGGAAACAAAAGTTTATTACTCATAAATCCTGGAAAGCACATGGCATACCTGGGTCACACAGTGAGGTTTTTGGTGGGGAGAGAGAGAGAGAGAAAGAGATAGAGAGAAAGAGAGAGTGCACATGCCTGGGGTTCTGGTTTTACAGTCATCAAGGGTGGAAGACTAGGGTTTCACTGACTCACTCTTTATTGGTGAAAATAAAAATTAAGAGTGGAGAATTTAAAGCATGAGAAGGGAAAAACAAGTGGCCTAGATGGATAGTTCCTGAAATCAGCCGAGATCTGTAAAACAAAGGAGGTTTGTAAAAAAAAACAAACAAAAAACTTTAGCTCTTAATAGGGAAAACTCAGTTTTCATAAGTAAACCTGATAAAGACAGTGATGCACAAAAATTATTTTGATAAAACAGAATCTTTGTTTTTGAGGCAGAGTACTTTAAAGATAAATAAAAACCTTTTACATTTTATTAGTAACAGGAGCACAGAGGCCCAATAACGAATTGGACCCAATAATGAAATTGGACCAAGGCAGACAGTTTTATACATTTCAGACAAAGAGACAATAGATTTGTGAGGAATTTATAGGATAACGAAAACAGGTGTTTGGGAGCTTTAATTAGTAAGAAATTTTAAGTGGAATCTGGGCTGATGTAGTAGATTAAAAATATGTAACAAGGTTTGTTTTTAAAGCTTTCTCAACTTTAAAGTCTCTATCTCTGGTGATAAGGATGTCTTTTTACTTCTTAGTCTAGAGAGGATACCTTTTACATGGGAGATATATTTCCTGCTTTCAGGGGGACAAAAGAAGGTCTCAGTGGCCTTCTTACATCTCTTAAGTAAATTTATTTAAAATAACTGTTGAGGAGGAAGAATTTCCTCTGCTCTTCAAAGTCCTTCTAGCTGGACTAAGAGTCGATTTGACTTTTGTCATAGTGGCCCCTCTTGGGGCAGCCTGACCTTCGCCACCACAGTAAGCAACTGTAACCTGTCACACCAGCACTCTTTAGATTGGCAAATTTATGAATACATTTCACAATTTCCAGAAATGTACATTTCTTCATAGCACAGTTTGTCAAGATGGCATAGATATTATTACTGTCAGACCCAAATATCTTTATTCCCTCAGTAGTAAGAGGTCAAGTTAGACTTGTTTGACAATAACTGTTTCAATATTTTATCTTATTTAGAGATCATCTAGGTAGTAAGTTTTTATCAGTTAATTTTTTTTAAAGATTATTTATTTATTTGAGAGAGAGAATGAGAGAGAGCTTGAGAAGGAAGAGGGTCAGAGGGAGAAGCAGACTCCCCGCTGAGCAGGGAGCCCGATGTGGGACTTGATCCAGGGACTCCAGGATCATGACCTGAGCCGAAGGCAGTCGCTTAACCAACTGAGCCACCCAGGTACCCTATCAGTTAATTTAACCCAGCAGAACTCTAAGGATGTAAATCACCAAAAAGGTTTGGGAAACAATTTAAGTAGATGTATCATAAAACATAATTGTTGAAAATTTCACTTAAAAACATTTATCACACTTACATTTATTTACTTGTTCCTAAAATCCTATCTGGGTTACTTATGAAAATTTTTATGAGACATTAACATAGCTAGCCAGAATTTTATAACAGGTAGCAATGAGTTTATTTGACTAATAAACCCAGATAGAATAAAAGTTGTATGTCTGCATTATATTTAATGCTTTTAACTCTGAAGACATGCTTACTTTAATTAAACTAACAAACTTAAACTAGCTTTTATTTACCAAAGATTATCTAGAATCACATGAACACGAAACACATTTGGATTAGTTTCTATTATATGTCTGAGAGTTTAGAAATATTTAATTTGATAAGTGCTTATTTTTCTTTAAGCCAATTAAATAGAGCTTTTTCATAAATTCGTTTTGGCAATACCATCCAGAGGTAGAGAAGGGGGGAAAAAAAGGCACATATATATAACATACATCTACAGACATACATAAACACACAGACAGACACAGAGACCTAGCTTTCACCTCCAAATTTTAGCCAGGAATGAGGTATAACGACATAAAATTCACTAGTTTATAAATAGCAGTTGAATTGAAATTTTGTCTCTGGCAGATGGAACAAGTTAAGGTTACCTGCTCCAATGGCTAAGCTTTTAAGAAATATCTGTGGAGAAGACTTTTGTATCTGTCCTTGACAACTAATCTTTAAAAAAAAAAAAGATTTTATTTATTTCTCTGGGAGAAGGAGAGAGAACGAGAGTGGGGGGAGGACAAAGGGAAGGGAGAAACAGAGGCACAGGGAGCCCAACCCAGGGCTCTGTCCCAGGACCCTGAGATCATTACCTGAACCAAAGGCAGAAAGCTTAACCACTGAGCCACCCAGATGCCCCTGCCCCTGACCAATAATCTTAAGGAGTCTAGACTAGAGCATTTACAGCCGTTTGTATTTTAACAGGCCTCTTCCCACCCCCCTTTTCTCTCTTTAGTCTCAGGAGATTGAGGGCAGTGTTTTAGTTTGCTCCTGGGATGTTGACATTTCGAAGACTTGATAAGATTTACATATTTAAGAGAGAGAAAAAGAATGTGAGTTTTCTCTAGGAGTCTTAGTGCCTCTCAGTTGGTTTCGTCAGTCCCCATAAAATGTAATAGTGCTGCCCTGTAATTAGGAGGAACAGTCTGTGAAAATAGTTTTCTAGACTCAGGGCCAGATGGGGTCTTTCTGGAGTTAGAAATGAAGAATGTGTCCTTTGGGTCACTGTGGTCATGGAAATGTGCCATTGGACTGTGCCAATTTTGTGCCACAAGAGATGGCTCTCATCTTATTGTCTTCCATGCATTGTGAGCCTTAGCAGTGACTGTGATAGAAGGATGGGCACAGTGCCAGGCATTACATATCCAAGTGAGGAAAGGGTGGCGGGGGCCGGTACAAGTATTGCCCTAGGGCCCTTTGCCTTTCCATTTCCTTCTTCTCCCCTGGAGATCCTCAATAATCCTGCCAGCTTTTCCCTTGGTGGCTGGGATGCTTCTTGAGGCATGTTGCTTAGCTCTGCCCCTTTCAAAGGAAAGTGGAGGGAATTGAGGAGCTCTGGTATCTTGGAGGAAATGAGCCTTTTCATTGGTGGTGACACCAGACTAGCAATCCAGTCTACCCTCCTTAGCTGTCCTTGGCTTTGAAGCATGGAAGACTCTCATGCACATTTAATTAATCATCAATTAAAGCTTTTCTAATTAGTGGTCTAATAGTCTCATTAGACCATGTAGCATATATCACACTGCTCTGGGGGAAATTGCTGGGTTACTATGGCCATCAACCCTTTGAGCAGATAATACAACAAAGGCAACATGACAAAGTGCATAAGCATGACAGGCTCCCAGCAAGAGGTGGTCCTTTCCCAGATGGTGATACCCACTTGAGTTAGGTGGTTAGTAAGCAAGCTGCAGGTAAAGGATATTCCTCTCAGTTAATTGCAAGGGCAAGCATGCAGTCCTGCTGACTGTGCCAACTGTTTTGTGCCAGGCTCAGCCTAATAATAAACTGTGTTCTGGCTGGACCAGTCCTGTGGTTCTCATCATGACTGCAAAACTCTTTCAGCAATAACCATCATGAAACTTTGAAAAAGAGATCAGGACTTGCAAGTCCTGAAAAATACATGGCACACCTAGGGTTACACAGTGAGGGAGAGGGAGAGAAGATGTACGGGATGGGCCTGGGGTTCTGGGTGGAGGCCTAGAGTTTCACAAGTTCACTCTTTATTTGGTGAATTTAAAACATAAGAGTGGGAATTTAAAGCATGGGAAGTGAAAAAAAAAAAAACAAGTGGCCCAAGTGGTTAGTTATTGAGATCAACCAAGGTCTCTAAAATAAAGGAGGCTCAGGGTGGGTAGGTGGCCTGACTCATTATCTAGTTGTATGGTTAGCAATGTGTTTATTTGGGATAGCCATCTTTGAAGTGGATACATCTTTCAAGTGGATGCCTCAGCTAACAAAGCTTAAACCAGGCACCTGCATTACAAAAAGAAAGGA